GTTTTGGGTTTTTTTTTTAGTCCTCCTAGGATTAATTTTTGTGACTATATGTTTTTCTACAAAATCATCTATACATCTAGTATGAAAATTGAGAGAGTTGAGCTTTTATGGCTGCCAAAGATGGACTGTGAGATTTGCCCCTCTGTTGAACACCACTATCTGCCAGTGATTTAATCAAGCATAATAAAATTCCTTCTGGGTGCCGATGTAATTAAGGCTCCTTTTCCTTAGAAGAGGAGGATCATCCTTCGTGGGCTTAACCAATAAGGATGGGTTCCTCTGGAGCAAGAGATTCAAAGCGTGAGCTGGGCAACTGTGGCTTGTGTTTGTAATCCTACCTACTTGGGAGGCTGAGATTGGGAGGATCGAGGTTTGAGGCCAGCAGAGACAAATAGTTTGTGAGACCCCATTTCTAAGATCAAAATGGAGTGGAGGTGTGGCTCAAGCAGTAGAGTGCCCACTTTGCATGTGTGAAGCCCTAAGTTCAAAACCCAGTCCCCCCCGACCAAAAAAAAAGAAAAAGAATAAAAAAGAGAGATTCAAAGCTTGAGAGGGATTCCAGGCAAGGGAGGTACACCCTTGTGTTAAAGAAAATTGTTTTCCTTCTACATTCTTTTTTTTTAAAACTGGAGTTTGAACTCAGGACCTCATGCTTGCTAGGCAGGTGGTCTACCACTTGAGCCACTCAGCTAGCTGTGTTTTGTGTTGGATATTTTAAAGTAGGGTCCTGTGAACTATTTGCCCAGGCTAACTTCTAACTGCCATCCTCCTGATCTCTGTCTCCTGAGTAGCTAGGATTACAGGCCTGAGGCTCCAGTGCCTGGATCCTTCTACAGTCTTATACCACTTACAAACTTGTTTTTAATTAAAAAAATTTTTTTTTTAAGATAAGGTTTTGCTATGTAGCCCAGGCTGGTCTTGAACTTGTGATCTTCCTGTCTCAGCCTCTTTAGTGTTGGGATTTCAGGTGTGCACTATCATGCCCAGCTCTTACACCACTTCTGATACCAAATGTGTGGGTCTTCCATATCAAATAACACTTCAGTTCTTTGTGGACACATACCGCAATTCAGTTCAATTGCAGCACTGTCTACCTGGAGTTAACCACAGACCACAAAGCTACCCATTTCAGGTGCCAGTTGCAAGTCCTAGGTTGTCCAATCAGTTATAAATTAAGAGTTCCTATGTTGTAATGTTCCTATGTGTTGTAATGGCTCACATCTCTTATGTTTTCTACTTCATTATAAAGGATATTACAAAGGAACAGGGGAACAGCCCGATGAAGAGGTACACAGGGGGAGGTCTGGAATTCTGCACTCTGAGTGCAGGCACCTCTGTTCCTGTGCAGGTGGGCTTGTGCCCCTCTTCTAGTGTGTGGATGTGTTCAAACAGAAAGCTGACACATTATAGAAGCGTCATTATGTAGCCATGATCAATTGTTAACTCAATCTCCAGTCCCTCTCTCCTTCCTGCAGATGGGGGGAAGGGCTAAAAGTTCCCAGCTTCTAATCATGGCTTCGTCTTTCTGGTGACCTGTCCCTATCCTGAGCTGCCCGGGAGCTCACCAACAGCCTCCTCATTGAACAAAGACATTGCCATCACTCAGGAAATATTAGAACAAAAGATGCTGCTACCACTCTGTCCCTTGGTGTCTAAGAGGTTTTGGGAGCTCTGTGTTAGGAGTCAGCACAGACACCAAATACATATTTTTCATGATTGTAACACTGACTTCAAAGAGGGGGGGAGAGTGGCAAGGAGCGTGTGAGAATGAAGCAAAAGCCAAGAGTGGCCTTTAGTTGGCAGCCAGTAAGGGGACAGGGCCCTAAGTCCTATAATTACAAGGAACTGAACTCTGCCATAACCATGTGAACTTGGAAGGGGACTCTGAGCTCCAGGTAAGGCCCCTTGATTACAGCCTTGTGAGACCCTAAAGAGAGAACAAGGTCATGCTTGACTTGACCTGTCTACCTGTGAACTCATAAATGGATGCTGTTCTAAACTGTTACACATTCGAAGTAATTTATTAAGTAGAAACAGAAAACTAACATTGCTAAGTCATAGTTTCTTTTTTCTTTTCTCTCTTCTTTTTTTTTTTTTGGTGGTACTATATATATAGTATACTATGTTTCAATATTTTTCATTCTCTAATATTTTCTTTCCTTGTCCCACCTCCCATAGCCCCTTTAGACAGACACACTAATACAATCTTGTTATCTCTGTCACTATATGTGTGTGTGTATATATATATATATGATCATACACGTATTTAGGAGTATGTTTAACTTATAGGTGTAGTTTCCACATATGAGGGAAAACAAGAGCCTGGCTAACTTCACTTAACATCATATTCTCCAGTTCCATCCATTTACCTGCAAACAACATAATTTCATTCTTTTTTATGGCTGAACAAAACTCCCTTGTGTATATATACTACATTTTCTTGATCCATTCATCAGTTGTGAGGCATCTGGACTGCTTCCAAAGCTTGGCTATTGTGAATACTGCTGCCATAAACATATGTGCAAGTGATTCTATTATATCTTGGAGCACACTCCTTCAGTTATATGCCCAGGAGTAGTATTTCTGAATTGAATGGTAGTCCTATTTTTAGTTTTTGAGAGACCTCCATATTGCTTTTCATAGTGGTTATGCTAATTTGCATTTCCATCAACAGTGTAAAAGTGTTTTTTTTGTCCCCACATTCTTGCCAGCAGTTGTTTGTACCACATTTTTTTTTTCTTTTTAGGGGTCCTGGGATTTGAATTCAGGGCCTTCTGCTTGTTAGGCAGGAGCTGTACCACTTGAGCCACTCTGCCAGTCCTTTTTTGTGTTCAGTGTTTTTGAGATAGGGCCTCAGGAACTATTTGCCCAGGCTGGCCTCGAATCTCCATCTTCCTGCTCTCTGCCTCCTGAGTAGTGCCAGTGCCCTACTGAACCACATTATATCTGTTCACATGTATGTGAACACTTGGATTGCTTCTACTTTTTGACTATTGTGAATTATGCTTCTGTGAACATGGATATACAAATATCTCTTCAAGACACTGCTTTGGGTTCTTTTTTGTTTGTGTTTTTTGCAGTACTGGGGATTGCTTGCTAGGCAGGTGCTCTACCACTTGAGTGATTCCCCCAGTCCTGCTTTCAGATCTTTTGGGTCTATGCACAGTCATGAAAATGATTGATCAGATTGCAATTGCACTTTCAGTTCCCTGAGGACTGTCATCCTGTTTTCCGTAGTGACTGCGCTATTGTGCATTGTCACCCACAGTACACAGGGTTTAACTTCTTTACATCCTTCTCAGAGCATGTTGCGTGTGTGTGTTTTGGTGTGTGTGTGCTGGGGATCAAACTCAGAGCCTTGAGCACTACTGAGCTATATCCTCAGCCCCCACGTTGTACGTTTTAAACATATGGTTGCTTTTGAATTAGTCTATTTTAATATGTATTTTGTTACACACCTGTGAGTCATTTTATTGTTGTTTTGTTAATTTTAAGGTGATAGTTCCAATAACAATTATGTTAACCACTCAGAAGGGAGGAAAAAGACGTGTAACTTTGGAAACTTTGGAAGTTATTTTTGGCTCATGAGCTATAGATTTAAGCTTGTTTTTTGTAATTTATTATTCATTCATTTTATGTGTCAACTATTTTGAAAGATTAAGATATTTTGTAAGTAAGGCTGGTGGAGTGGCTCAAGTGGTAGAGCACCTGCCTAGCAAGTGTGAGGCCCTGAGTTCAAACCCCAGTACTACCAAAAAAAAGATATCTTATAAATAATAGTGTAATTTGAGGAAGTTTATACTTAGTGTATTGCCTGTTTTCTGAACAAAACATTTCATCTAAGGGAGAGGCTTGGTTTTCTGTCACCTTGATAAGTCAGGTAAACTGTGCCCCAGAGGACAAATATTCACATGACCACCCCCTTTTTTTCTGCGGTACTGGGGCTTGAACTCAGGGCCTTCACTTTGAGCCACTCCACCAGCCCTTTTTTGTGAAGGGTTTTTTCAAGATAGGGTCTTGAGAACTATTTGCCTGGGCTGGCTTTGAACCATGACCCTCCTGATCTCTGCCTCCTGAGTAGCTAGGATTGGCGTGAGCCACCGTATTTGACTGTCTGCATGATTGAGAGACTGCTTTAGATAACATGGTTTCATTTGTGCATACAGCAACTATCCAGCTGAAGAAGCTAGAGAATGAGGCAGAAGCATAACAGAGCTTAAGATTGGAAGTGCTAACGGGTTGAAACCAGAACTACAGCCACATTTTTGTCCACATTTATTAGGCCTTAACCACCTCAATGAAATACTAATCTAGAGAAACTATCCTATGCTCTGATCCATTTCCCTATTTCCTTTCAATGGGAAATTTCATATTGACCTTTATACTTTGGTATGGCAGAATTTATTGTTGAATCATTTGAAAAGACTTTATTGCATTCTTTTGGATTGTTTCATTTGGTTTGGTTTGTGAAAGCACCAGTGTAAGAGGTTTATTCCTTTATTAGGCAAGATAGGGTAAGCATGTTAGTCCCTCTTTTCATGCCCACAGTGGCCTCAAGAAGTCCCCGAGTCAGGCCTGTTAAGGTGCACACAGCAGGACATCCATAGTTTCTTGTCTAGCACCAGCTCCTAAGGTATATAGGCAACTGGACTGCAACTGAAGACCATGTAGTTAATCTTCTAATAAACTAAAGACTAGTGACAGTCTGGAAACTGAAAAGCCACTGGATGCTTTTAGAATACCTCACCTCAGGATGCATAAGTGTCATCTTTTGGTGTCTTCTGGGTGACTTTAGTCTCACTACTCTTAGAGTAGCCGCTGGGAGCTGTTGATCTGGCTAAGATACTAAGACCTGCTAGGAAGTTGTATTTGACCTTAAATTGTGTTTGATCTTATTGTGCAGATATGATGTGGGTGCATAAAGAGAAAAATCGAGAAGGAAAAAGCCTCACTAAAACCTAAACACTGGCATATATTCCAAATGTGAGGTTTCCTCACATTCAAACCCCACTCTTAGTCCTTGGGGCTCCTATCAACCTCTTCAGGGCCAGCTTCACCTCTTGGTTGCGCAGAGTATAGATGAGGGGGTTGAGGAAAGGAGTGATGGCTGTGGGGAACAGAGCAGCTGCCCCGTCCAGGGGGCTGTTGGTTTCAGGCCGCAGGTAGATGAAGGCACAGGGCACATAGTACACGGTGACCACAGTTACATGGGCTCCACAGGTTGAGAAGGCCCTGCGCCGCCCATCAGCTGTTCGGATTCTCATGATGGCCTGAATGATCCGAATGTAGGAGAGGAGGATCAGGGAAAAGCAACTGGCCACCACCACTCCAATGTCCACGAAAGTCACCATCTCATTGACTGTGGTATCAGCACAGGCCAGCTGCAAAACTGCAGGGATGTCACAGAAGAAGTAATCTACCTGGTTGGGCCCACAGTAGGGTAGACGAAAGGTTAGAATGGCTTGAATGGCCCCGTGGATAGAGCCAGCCACCCAAGCGCCAGCCACAAGCAAGAGACTCAGTTTAGCACTCATGAGCACAGGGTAGTGCAAGGGCCGGCATATTGCTAGGTACCTGTCGTAGGCCATCAAGGTGTAGAGGAAGCACTGGGTGCTGCCCAGGAAGTGGTAGAAATAAAGCTGAGTGACACAGCCCCCAAAGGGAATGGGTTTGATGCCTAAAGTGAAGGTCATCATGAGGCGAGGGACAATGATGGAGGAGATGCCCATGTCGATGATGGAGAGAACTCCAAGAAAGATGTACATGGGGCGGCCATGGAGCTGTGGGTCTGCCCACACAGTGATCAGAATAAGCAGGTTCCCCAGCTGAGTCAGGATGTAGATTAGCAAAAAGAACACGAAAAGGAACATCCGCAGTCTGAGTGGGTAGAGGATTCCCATCAGGATGAACTCAGTCAATAGGGTATAGTTGACTCTTTCCATTGTCCCGGAGAGATTTTACCTAGAGAATGGACACACAGGAGTTAGCATAGAGGTGAGAGAGAAGTGAGAGGAAGCAGAGAAAGAGCTTGTAGGAACTGGGGTAGTGGAAGTCAAATTCCTCTGGTGTGGAGAGATGACTAGTAGGGAGAAGGCACGGTCTCTGGCAGGAGTTTTGTAAATAAAAATTTATTAGACCACAACCACACTCTCTTACTTACATATTGTATCTGTGTTGATGTGATAATGGTGGAGATGAGTAGTTACTTTTTGCCTGAGAAGCCTAAACAATTTACTTTCTGAACCTTTATAAAAAGTTTGTATCTAGGGTTTTGCACTCAGAAAACTTTTTCAATATATTTGGAAAATAATCATTGACAGTTTTTTCAGTCCAGGCCAGGGTTTCCTGGAAACCTGACATGTGGGAAAGGATATTTGTTGTATTAGATGCTCTGCTGACTCAGAATCTTCCAGAGACCACTGGCTCAATCTTATATCTGCCAGGACTTAAAGTTACATGAAGTGGGGAATACACAGAAATGAAATGTGAGACCTCCTTTTCACCACTGCAAGAGAGAATGAAATGGAACTTTGATTAAATGACTGTTCAGTTGTGGTACTGCTTGATGGTGTACAAATTTGATTCTAGCTCTTTATAATTCAAAAGTAGAGGACTTCCAGGGGGCTGTAAGTACTAGGGAAAGCCAGGACTAGCACCACTATGCACTGTGGTTGGTACGTGGTGCTATGTATGGTGTCTTGTTTATAACCTTTTAGCTTTATGACATGATAAATGAAGAGGGAGAGAAGAGCAATGGCCTTGTGAGCAGAGATTAAAGTAGAAGCAAAAATGATTAAAGATGAGGGGAATAGGATGAGAGGATGGCTAGAGCAGAGCAAGTGGCTCTCCATGAGGAAGAATTATTCTCAAATTCTTAGGACAACCCTTTGATTAGCATTTTCTCACCTGAACAAAAGGGTTGGAATAGAGACCTTTAAAAGTACCCTTAGGGGCTGTGGATGGTGGTGCAGACCTATAATCCAGCACTCAGGAGGCTGAGGCAGGAGAATCACAAGTTCAAGGCTAGCATGGGCTGCATAGTGAGACCTTGTCTGAAAACAAAAACAAAAACAAAGAAAGCAATCTTTAGGCAGGTGAAGTGGCTCATGGCTGTAATCCCAGCTACTCAGGAGGCATAGACAAGAGAATTGAGGCCCATGGTTCACTCCCCCCAAAAAAACCCCACCATATCCAAAAAATAGCTAAAGCAAAAAGAGCTGGGGGCATGGCTCACTCAAGTGGTTAAGCATTTGCCTAGCAAGTGTGAGGCCTGAAGATCAAAATCTAGTAGCACCAAAAAAATATTTATATATGTTCAGTCTTATAATTTTTTGATATCTGAAGTCATGGCTTGGTACCCCTATTGAAAATTGCTGTTTTATTAATACAGCTTTGAATATTTTGAAATCAAGTAGTGTGATACCTTTAGCTTTGTTCTTTCTTTTGATTGTCTTTTCTTCTTTTTTGTTTTGTTTTGTTTTGTTCTTTTGAGATAGGGTCTCACTAAGTAGCTCAGGCTGTCCTTGAACTTGTGATCCTCTTGCCTCAGCCTCCTGAGTGTTGGGATTACAGACATGCACCACCATCCTTAGATCAACTTTGTTCTTTTGCTTAAGATTGCTTTGGCTATTTGGGCTTTTTCGTGGTTTCACTAGACGAGGAGAATCTCTTCAGTAAATGGTGCTGGGAAAACTGGATATCTGAATGCAAAGGAATGAAATTGACCCTTATCTCACACTATACCAAAAATCAACTAAATATGGTGCAGAAGGAAGGTGTAGCTAAGTGTTAGAGCACTTGCCCATTATGTTTGAAGCACTGGGTTTGACCCCCATCCCTCCCCAGGATTTCGAGGGAGAGTAGGGGGTGAATAAACTAAAATAAAGACTTAAACATACGACCTGAGACTGTCCTCCAAAGGAAAACATGGAGGAAAGCTCTATCACACTGACATTGGCAACGGTGTTTTCAGATATGACCCTGGAAGGACAAAACCAAAATAGACTAATGGGATTGCATCAAATTGAAAGACTTCTACATAACAGAGGAAACAACTGGTAAGGCGAAGAGACAACCCACAGACAGGGAGAAAAGATTTGTAAACTGTGTATCTGATAAGGGGTTAATATCTGAAAAGGGTAAGGAACTGAATTCAGTGTCAAGAAAGCAATCTGACAAATGATTAAATCCTGGGCAAAGGATTTGAACAGACATTTTGCAAAACGAGCTGCCAATCACCTTCAGATTTATGAAATGCTAAACATCACTAATCACCAGGGAGGCACAGGATTAGAATGGCATTGTGATATCACCTCCCACCTGTGAGGCTGGCTATCAAAAACATGAAAGACAGCTGGGTGTGGCTCAGGGTTAGAGTGCTTGCCTAGTATGCATGAGGCTATGGGCTCAACCTCCAGTACTGCAAACAAACAAACAAACAATCAATAACAAAAAATAAACAACAACCAAACAAACCTGTGGGAGATAATAAGTGTTGGTGAGGATGTAGAGAAAAGGAAATCTTTGCCTACTCTTCGTAGGAATGAAAACCAGTTATAGCCATTATGAAAAACAGTATGGAGTTTTCCCAAAACACTAAAAATACAATTACCATATGATCTAGTAATCCAGCTTCTGGATACATATCCAATGGAATTCAAATTAGTATGTTGAAGAGGTGTCTGCACTGCAGCATTACTTACAATAGCCAAGAAAGGATCACCCAACGGATGAATGGATCAAGAAAATACAGTGCACATATATAACAGAATACTATTTAATCTTAGACAAGAAGGAAATCCTATCATTTGTGAAAATGTGGAGGACATCATGTCAAATGAAATAAGCCAGACACAGAAAGACAAATTCCACATGATCTCATTAGTATGTGGAATCTAAAAACCTGAATTTACAGAAATAGACAGTAGAATGATGGCGCCTAGAGGCTTGCACTTGGAAGGAGGATGGGGCGATGCTGGTCAAAGGGTATGAAGTTTCAGGGACAGGAAGAATATATGACCATAGGTATAACATACTGTTGGGCTGTCGATGTGGCTCAAGTGGTAGAGTGTCTGCCTAGCAAGCATGAGGTCCTGAGTTCAAACCCCAGTACCCCAGAAAAAGAAAAAGAGCCAATAATAATGTACTGTACATTTCAAGTTGCTAAAAGAGTGAGTTTTAAATGTTCTCATTACAAAAAAAGTGTGGTGATGAATATGCTAATTAGCTTAATACACCCATTCCACAGTGTATGCATATATCAGAACATTGTATTGTACCCCACAAATATACACAACAATTAAAAATAAATATTTTTATTAAAATATTAAAAATAAATATTTTTGTTTGTTTTTGGGACAGGGTCTCACCGTGTAGCCCAGGCTGGTGGTGAACTCCAAATCTTCCTACCTCAGTGTCCCAGTGCTAGGATTACAGGTATGCAACACCTGCACCTGACATAATAAAGATTTTTGAATTTAAAAAAATCCAAAAAACCTTATGCCAGACATGGTGGCATGTACCTGAAATCCTTAGCACTTGGGAGGCTGACACAGGACGATTGGGAATTCCAGTCAGCCTGGGCTATATAGTGAGGCCCTGAACTCAAAAAGCCAAAAACAGCAACAAAACCCTAGAGGTGAAATGTTTTGACTGTCTTTTTTGGACTGACTTGCATTTACTCGACGGAAGAGAGTGAGATCAGCAGATTAAGTTAGAAGCTCTCTGATGAACTGTTCTCTTCAGTTCAAAGCTGTGCTGGGCAGTATTCTGCCCTAGGTGAGCAGGCTGTGAGGGCCCAAAACGTGCAGCCATTGTGAAGGAGTCAGACATCATGGACAGAGGACATGCTGCTGGCCAAAAGCCCCAAGTGAGAAACTACAATGGATCTTTTTCTTTCTTTTCTTTTTTTTTTTTGCAGCAATGGAGTTTGAACTCAGGCTCTCACACTTGCTAGACAGGTGCTCTTACCTCTTGAGCCACTCCATCAGCCCTAGAATGGATTGTGACATCAGCTTGCTTCTTGGTCTAAGTGGGGTTTCCTAATAGCTATGGGTTTTGATTTTCTCAGTGGAGCTGAGAAGTGGAGTGAAACTACAGATTCAATTCTGGTAAGTGGTGAATAATAATGAGTGGTTATACTCAACATGTGTATGTTAACAGCACTTAGGTTTAAATCTGAAATCTGACATATCCATGCTTTGTCAAAAGCATTCTTATTACTTAACAACTTCTGTTATGGAAGCTAAAACAAAAGCAGCACTAAATTCTCCAACCTTATGCCATTTTATCTCTTTTCAAGTGAATGCAAAATGGTTGTGATTTTTTTCAGTTTCAAATAACCGTTTTAGAAGCTGGGTGCTGGTGTTTTAGGCCTGTAATCCTAGCTTCTCAGGAGGCAGAGATCAGAAGGATGGAGGTTCAAAGCCAGCCCTGGCAAATAGTTCTTGAGACCCTATCTCGAAAAAACAATCACAATAAAGGGTTGGTGGAGTAGATCAAGGTGTAGGCCCTGAGTTCAAGCCCCAGTACCGCAAACAAAACAAAACAAAACAAAAAACCAACAAAAAGCCATTTTAGTCACAGGAGGGCAGTGATGGCTGCAAGTTGATAACAGTTACAGACCCTGGCCTCCTCCTCACTTCCCCATGTCAATGGGTGCAGAGGGTGTAGGTCCCACAGGGTTCCTTCAGAAATTCATAACTGTGCCCAACAATAGTCCTAGGCTGAAGGAGCTCGTGTGACAGCTCTGGTTTGGGTGTCATGGGATACTGGAGTTCTCTGAGGTCACTGGCGGATGATGTTAAATTGTTCCTATTTAGAAGGCTTAGTTAGTCGTGTCTCTCTGGGGAAATCAGGCTCTGGGAATCAATTCACACTATTCAAGTGATTTACAAACCTAACAACCAATGTATTAATTTATTGTGGGAGATCTTGCTCCCAG